CAGGCGCGTGTTGCAGTTTCTGATCCCTTGTATGAGATGATCAAGAAGGAAGAGTTTGAACGCCAATACAATTCCAAGTTTTTGGAGGCGATTTCTTGCTCTCGTGTGGTAGTTGAGCCTGTAAGTTCAGGGACGTATGAGCCATCATCGAAGCTGAACTTAAAGGTACTACAAGACATCCTGAAGGGTATCTTCAAGATCCAGAAGGATGAGGAGCTTGCCAAAGAACGTGATGAAGAAGAAGAACAGGCAGCTCAAAACATCTCAAACTTGCTGGCAGATGATATGGAGCTTGATTTCGATGATGATAATGTTCCAGTATGGCGCTCCATTGTCGACAAGTATAGAGAAGGTGATCAGGTGCTACAGGGAGAAGCTGTGAAGATTACTCACCTGTTCAGGGATCAAAAGGACAATGAGAAGGCGACAGAAGCTTTCAGTTCAGAGAGGACAGATTTTTATGAGACCTCAGGACCTCTTCCAAGAACCATGGGAGAAAATCTTGTAGAGGACTTGCTCACCAAGGATGTTGCAGAACAAGCTTTTGATGCAGGTGAAGAAGTTCCTCCTTATACAAGAGTCTCCACTATCGCTGGTGGAATCTATACTGGAAGTAGGACACTTCTAGAAGATGAGGATATGGAAGAGGAAGTTCCTGAAGAAGATCCTGCAGTTGAACCTGAAAAAGAAGAAGAAATATTTGATGAGAACGCAGGTGTTTTTCCTTCAGAGGAACCAAAGATGGAAGTGGACCAGGAGGAAGCCAAGGAGGAGTCAACACCACACTTTCTGTCAAGAGAGATAGGTGAGGACTCGGCTGCATCGCACTTACCATCAGGTGAGATGGATGCTAACCTTGATGATACTCCACGTCTGCCGAAATCTAAGAAAAGCCGCCTGAATAAAATACCTGATCCTCATTTTCATGAAGAAGTTCAGGATGATGCAACCATGGAAGAGAAGAAAGAGGCGGTGGAGAAAATAAAAGAGGTCAGAGAGGATGATGGAGAGAAGAAATTGGAGGCTGAAATCCAGGAATCTTTTCCATGTGAAGTAGTTGTTGAAAAGGATACAACAAAGGTTGACAATACCTATGAGTTGCATACTTCACCTTTGAAGTTGCTTGGAGAGCTTACAGGAGATCCAGGTATTGGCCTTTATCAACAATGCTTCAGGGAAACTCACGCAAGATTGCTGAATCATGTTTGTTTCAGAAAAGGTGAGATTTCCCATCCTCATTATCAGTCGAGGATCAACGAGAATGATTTTGTTCGATCCATCCGTAATATCTGTCCAGTACCTCCACCTGATTGTTATGAACACGAACCAGAGCATGATTTGAAGAGATTCTTTATCAATGATGATCGCATCATTCATTTGGATGGCAAGTATCAGGTCGATCCAAAGGCCCTTGAAAGGGCAGAACATGCTCGAGAAGAATTGGAGGATACGAAGAAGGAACTTAAGAAGGAACTGGAATCATATGGTCCCAAGGGACCCAGTTGGGACTTTGTCACCTTCTATGAAGAGCTGTGCAGAAGGTTCCTCAAGGGAAGAATAGAAGAACCATATGGAACTAACTTATTGGCCAGCTCAGAGTCCTTGACATTTTTATCCTGGAACTATGGCAACATGGTTCGCGGTCAGAAGTACACCACACCAAGGTTTCTCCAAGGACTTGATAGTGCAATGAGGCCACGCAAACAGAGCGCCATGTCACTTCAGAATGAGCAATTTGAGAACAACCTTTTCTTCAACATGCTCTTCTTTTTACGTGCACATGTCGTGATTCTCCAGGAAGCTCAGCTTTTGAGCAAAAGAATTGGACAGTTTGTTTCAATGATTGGGAGAATCTTGCAGTGATGGCTAGATTGGCACCAGGTGGATATGTCAAGATCATTGCTGGACATGATCAAGAACTTGGTCACTGTGAACAGCGTGATGTAACTTGGGCTATCTACGAGATTTGTTTTGGAGAAACAAGGCCTCGTCAAGATTTCAAGGATGCAGACTTTGAATTTGATGACTATGGTCCTGAGGACAAGCGTGTTCCACTTACTCGAGCGAACATGCATGCCATCAGAGTCTGTAATTATCATGTTGATACACACCGTGCTGTGGATGCCCACCTACTGACAGGAGAACAGACAGCATTGATGCTTTACGAGTGTTTTGTCTATGAGGTGGACATCATTTCTGGTGATGCAAATAGTTTGGCCTACAGAATGTCTGGGTACAAAAGGCAGCCAATGGCTAACTACTATTACAGCACCATGCAGCATTGGATCCGCAGGTTTTCAGAAGCTCGTGTAAAAGCAGATCCTGGTATCAAAGCACCTATTCCCAGAACATTTTACAGTTCAACTTCACAGGTCCTCAAGAAGTGTGAAGTTTACTTTGATAAACTCTGGGAAGAATATTCTACTGTTGAAAAAGAAGAATACCAAGGATCACAGCTTGGCGATACATGCTTGTCTACCATTGTTGAATGGGGTCATTCAATGGGTGAAGAGGAATATGAAAATTCCACAGTGAGCACGAAGGAGTTCATCTGTAATTTTTCAGAGAACTTTGCTATGATTGACACGGAGGTTATGTGCTCAAGGCCCACTGACGAGGACAGTCATGGTCCAATGTTTATTTCACTCAGACCAGCTTCCTTTTTCATCTGGAGACAGAAGACAGTATCGCATGGGAGCAACTCTTCATGAGGCGAAACTGCGGAGGAAGGAGAAACAGAAAGAGAATAAAAGGAAAGGAAGGCCGCCAACTTCTGATCAAGCAGCTTCATCGTCTGCAGCGGCATAATTCCTGAGCGAAGGCTGAAATTTAAATGATGGCTAGGAAGTGAAGATACTTCTGGTTACAGTTGATACTTTGCTTCCAGGCTTGACTTTAAGTTGCCAAGCTGAAGTTTTAATAAATTCTGGTTTGCAATGAGGAGAAACTTTTTATCAAAGAAGATACTCCTGCATTCCAGGTTTATACGCTTTAGCATGTAGATAGGTATGGACAGTTTTGCATAACTGATGATATCTATCACAGCCGCTTTTCCTGAGATGACCTCTAATGGACAACCAGTCATGGTTGATGATTAAGTCATTTCATGATTTGCAATTGTAGTGCAAGATTTTTTTTGTACATACATTTGCCGGTATCTCCTTCTTGTGTTTTTGATGTGAATGTGAAAGAGAGTCCTTTTGATGCAGTTTTATTTTGTCTGTGGATGAAAGCGGTCGAGACCACGTCACGAGAAGATTATTCCTCGGACCGTACGCTCCTTGCATTTTGCAAGGCATTTTAATTAATTGCATTTGTGCGGTCTTGAGTTTTTGTTTCCTTGTTACGCGAGTGTCGTTTGATTCTTTTATAGGTCTCTGTAGAGAAAAAGCCGCTTTCCCTTTTTAGTTTGATTTAGCTCAGGCCATAAAGAGCTAGTGAGCGCCGGTACATGGTATCTCCGCCTGTGAAAAATACAGTCTCCAGCCGAGGTACATTATCGTTTTGATTTTGTACTTGAGGTGAGTCAGCTATTGCTCCCTCACTGTATTTAGTAGCTTTGAGATTACCTTCTCTATAGTGTGAAACACACTGGATTAGGTAAGTACATGGCACCGTAGTTTTCTTTTAAGTTGCTAGAGCTAGCTGGACTGTTTTAGCCTTGCAGTAGAAAAAGAGTGTGCGACATACGCAATCAGCTAGGAGTGGACATGAATCTTGTGCCTGCTGAAAAGTAGAGCCTACCTGTACAGGGTTCCACTCCAACAGCCGATATAGTGTGTCCATACTTGACTGCTTCAAGGCTCAAAGAGCAAGAGGATAAGACTCTGCGCATAAAAGACACTAGCGGTCTGCACCTCTACCGTGTACGCCCTAGTCACTCTTTCA